AAGTCCCCGAAATGCAATAAAATGCAAAATGCTTAGTTTGTCCATGCCTGCCCTAAAACATAGTTAAATAAAGTAAATTCATAAATTATACACAATGAACAAATTAGGTCAAACTGTGTTAATATATACATAATGTATCTAGTTACATCCCATACCCAAAATTTTAATAATAAAATGTCATCATTAAAAAAATAAAAGGCTAAAAAGATAGTTAGCCAAACCTAGCAAAAGTGACGGTGTAGCCTTCTGCTGTACAGACGGTGTGCTTTTTATGTCGCCTTTTTTTAAATAATATGTATATTAATTGTGCACCATTCCTAGATTAATACTGGGCACTGAATGATACAGCGTTCTACCGCTTGTTCGTCATTAAGAACATTGTTTAGTGACAACAGTGTAATTGTAAACTTCCGTCATCCTACACTCACACTAATAACGTACTTCACACCTGAGTATTATTAAAGCATTTTAAACCCACTGGTCCAGTTAATAAATACCTGACACCCGGGTGGTGAATTGAAGAGTGGGTTGTCACTCAAGTGCACTAATAAGTGACAAAAGACAAAACTGTATGCAGAAAAGATGAGGACACAGCATCTGGCCCTTTCACGCCTCATTGACTTGATGGAATACTAATAAAAGCCATATGACGACAGCATACTAAGTGTGCAATTAATATTCTAAAGTATTCCTAAGCTGCGTGTAGTGCTGACGGGTTCCGAGCTCCTACACTGGCAGCGTGACGGCGCTGTCTCTACTGTGAAAATGAAATGTCCGCCACGACCTTGTTTCTGCTGCTGAGCCTACAAACCTGGAGGTTGCGCTGGACACTGAGAACACACGTGGAGGCCAAATGTTGTCTGGTCAGTGTGCGGTCATCCTGGCAGCAGAGAGAAATAATCACTGATGGAGCCCTGGTTGTCTGAAATAAATGGATGTAAAGAACCAATCAGAGGCAGAGCATTAAGCGACATCAATAAAGACTGCTGGATGTCACAGTGTTACAGAAGAACACAAGTGGCCCATGAGCAACACTGGAGTTTGTTTTCAAACCTCTTTATTTTCCTACATTCAGGGAAAATGTTTGGATACTGAATTTGGCCCAACAACCTTGTTTTGACAAATGCCAAACGTAACTATTAAAATAGGTAACGAGATTTGATTGGCTACTGTCAGTGTTGATTGTCTCTACCAATCCCCTTCAACTTCCTGTTGTGGTTTTGTTTTATTTAAAAATAAACTCCTGTGGGGAAATACAGAGTATTTCAGTTAACTCGAACTAAAATAGCACAATAAAGGTCAAGATTTTGATACTTAATCATCCAAGAAAATCAGTACAGCGACGTCTTTAAGTTAAGGTGGAAGTTAAACATATTTTAACCACCGAAGAAGTACCTATAACGATGCCCGTCAAAAATAATGACGGCAACCTGATTGGCAACTTGTCAGCTGTCATCATGTATGCAGTAATACTCCAGAGTATTTGTCTGCTAAAATATTACAGCAGTACTACTACTTGTCATCTTGATGACAAAGGTGACACCAACCTATGGAGTGTAAAGACAGCAGTGTAGTTATGAGAGATCATTTAATGATTTGGCTGCCTGACAAAACAACAGACCAAAGTCAAATCTTGGAGAAAAAAAAACCCATTCACGAACAGCCCTACGAATTCATGAGGTTTTACCAACAACAGAAAATTCTACCCTCTGTGACTTCATGTGACTCGATTTTAATTCACTGATAGTCCATCACCTGAGCTAACCCCCAGCTTTCATCAGTGTGGGTGGGGGCACGGGGCAGGAATACTCTCAGGACAATTCAATAATTCATCAGAAAAATCAACAAATTAATACAAACTAATGTAATTTATTTTTTTACTAATTATCTGGAAAAAAATACATTTTTTGCCTCATATTTCTTTCTGGGGTTTTTTGTTTGTTTTGTTTTGTTTTTCTTAATCAGAATTTCTCTTTCTGTATTTTCAGAATGTTCTTAACATTATTGTAGACATAGATTAAAGTAGATTAGAAGCTATGTCCATTCAGATATGATGAGATATGTCCTTCAAACTGATTCCACTTATTTTTTGTGTTTTTTTATAGAAAGGAACAAAAAAAAGTCTAACTTTGCCTGTTCTCTACAAGCTCACAGGACAACGGTCTGGTGGAGATGGCCAGGAACAGTCTCCAGACACACTCACACAGGAACGTGTCTTCTGGGGATCCTCGACCAGACAGATTAGAGGAGCCATAGGAAGCCCTAAAAAACCCCAGCTCTGTGCTGTGGATGGATGTCGGGTGGAGATTTACATCAGCAGGCCGGGAACAGGAGTTTTCCTCTGGGCTTGATCCTCTAACACCATAGACTTTTAATATTTCATGGTGGAAGCTGGGTCACATCTGTCTGTGAGAGGGGACTTTATCACCGCAGTCAGTGGGGGGGGCG